TGTTACTCTTTGTTTTTATTACTTAGGAAAAGGTCAAGGTTTTATTCTACAAATCAGTGATATAAAATAACTGCCAGAATATAAAATACATAAATTTTTGAAAGGATGCCAGAAGCACTGATGAAAAGTCAGAATTCACAAGTAATTCTAAATGACCAGCACAGGCAGCAGTGAGCCAGAATTCCCTATTACACATAATGGAGAATAAAGAAAACCAAGAATAGCTTGGACAGATGCGTATGTCTATGCTAATTTCACTGGAAAATATAAAAAAAATCTTCCTCAGGCTACATGAATTCCTCAGAGCACACATCATAAAGAGGAGGACTTCCTCCAGGAAATCATAAGAGCAAACTGCTTTGAATGCTGATATGGCTTTGGGGTGGATTTTTATCATAGCACTGTATTTAGGCATACATTAACTCTTGTTATTTGATTTTGGGTACTCAGTTGTTGTTTTTTTAACTCTCCTTTGCCTTACAATATTGTACTGTAAAAATGTAATACAGCCGCAACGTTCAGTACTGTACATCAAGAATTATACAATGCCTTGCAAATGTTTTTTGCCCCTACCAAAAACCTTCACATTTCGAAAATAACTGTGGATGCATTTTTGTCAAATAAAGTTTTTTTGGCAAAACTGTAATGATCACACTGAACATTAGATAAATAAAGTTCACAAAAACCTGGGAGAAAATAAACAAATTGAAATTTACTGGTTGCAGAATTATTCACTCAATCGGTGATAACGCTTTGTTATTCGTAAACCAAAGATTTTTGCCTTGTCAGATCACAAAACATTCTACCACGTGTCTGTATTACTTACATGTTTTGCTGCAAACAAGTTTTTCGGCAATGGCTTGTTTCTTGACACATGTACAGGACAGAATTGTGTAGCGACAGGGGTATTACGGATGTATGAACACTACCCCTTTATAAAGACACAGAAGCTTGTATATTTTTCAGTGTCGCTTTTGCACAGTGGCATCCTTAAGCAGCTTCCTACATGCCCAGCTTGTCAGTTTGGAAGGGTGGCTTGACCCAGACAGTGGTATGACATACTGTATAGTGTGGTGAAAAATGAAAACACAACCCATTATTGCTAATCATATTTAGGATATATGTTTCCTTCCACCAGTTCTCGCCAAGTACTAATAGTAGTGAAAACTTGCCCTACATGACAAATAACATACAACATTTTAACTTTTTACTACTTGACAAAAAAAACAGGATTTGATGTGTGATGTTGCGTGAAATATCAAAAATGGTTTAATAATAATAATAATAGTCATAACAATATTAATCATCATCATCATCCTTACACTTATATAGTGCTTTTTTGGGGAACTCCACTGAAAGCACTTTATAACACAAAACAATGAGTACAAAATAGCTTAAAATCAGTTTTACAGTTCTAATTCCAATATGCATTATAGCGTACTCTACATAAAAAATGGCTTATTTTGTGCATCTGAATAACTGAACATTTATAACAATAATCGCAAAAATTCTGTTAGAATCAACTGGTGAAGGTTTATGTACTTCAATAAGTTGACTTAACTTTTACAGAAACCAATCCTTTCTCGACCAAATTAAAAAGTTTTGTTGAAGTTTAAGGAGAAAGATTTACATTTTGAAAAACCTGTCCTTTTACGTACAACATTTTTGTCACATTGCACAGTACTAAATTAAGAACCGACATGTATGAATCACAAATAACTGGAATGCAAATTCTCTGCTGATGATATGTTGAGAATTCTCTAGAGCTCTTACTAGAAACTAGAAAAAAAGATAATTCAGGCAAACTAGATGTTTCTTTTGTTAGACAATGTATTTTAAAGATCATAAACTTTAAGAATGACTGCAGCCAGTCAGATCATCAGTTAACTTATATTTTTGAGTTAATTATGAGTTTTTCAAGTGGTAACCACAGGAGACACTAGAAATCTGAAACACTCTTCTGAACATTTTAATGGAATGACAAGTTAGATTAAAAATTTAAGTGTAATCTAACCATTTTCTATCTGATTTTACCAATACAGGGTCCTGTATCTCGACAAAGCCAGATACACCCTGGACAGAATGCCCATGTCAGATGTGGCAGACAGACACGGACACAAACACAACCACTGACAGCAGGGTCCAATTTCACAGAAGCCAATTAACCTACCAGTATGTGTGTTGACTGTGGCAGGAAATTGGAGCACCCAGAGGAAACTGCTAGGAACATGGGGAGGATGCACAAACTCCGTACAGATAGCACCCTCAGGAATTGAACCCAGAGCCCCAGCGCTGTGAAGCAGCAATGCTAACTACTGTGTCATCATGCTGCATTTTGGGGGTTGTCTCTGCACCTAATTTTAATGTGAAGTACAATAACACTTCACTTAAAATATATTAAAAATACCTGTTCCTTAACAATGCACACATAAAAAGTGTATTTCTTTATTAGCGTGTTAACGCTTTCCAAAGTGGAGCTTTGGTCATACAGAGTATCAATCTTGCAACTGTAACAAGGAAAAGCACGACTGTCCTCAGGATCTTTTTAATAAGCCTAATCTGATTTTGTGAGACTTTTGTTAAAATAGTGGTTTCAATAATGTTAATCATTTTTGCATTTTGCATGATATAAAGCATCCATCTTCTGACATAAATTTAAGTTGGGCTGTCACAGCCTTATGGGCAGAAAAATGTTTGGATTTTGTAAAGCAGCTGACCAAGCAAGGTAAAAGCTAACTGCTAAGATCACAAGCTCAACAGGTCTCTTACTTTAACAGCTCAGAATGAGTCATGTGGGAAGTTACCTACATACCATCCATTAAAGTGTATAGATCTTGTTATTTATAAATAGGAAGGACTTGAAATACTGTTCAGCTAATTTAAGCAACTTATCAAGCAAGAAACGTGAACCGGAATGTGAAATATTGAACCTTTACACTTCCTCGTTGCATTTGGACTTGAAAGTCTTCAAGAGGGTCTGACTTTCACTGAAGACAGTAGAAGAATATGATTAGTAGAGTAGATAGCAGAACAAATGAATTGAAGGTCATGTGTACTTACAGAAGCCACTCCCATTATTCTGGGAAATGTGAGAGATGAGCATGCATCTGGAGTCTGTCCAAACGTAGTGTAAGGTGTCTGGAACCAAGCCTTTTCATTGGCCCAGATCACATCACACAGAGGGAGGATAGATGCCCCCAAGCCAACAGCAGGACCATTCACAGCCACTATGATGGGTTTCTTAAACTGGATGAAAGTGTTCACAAAGGCCCTGGAAAAAAAAAAAACAACAACAGATATTTCAATTAGAGCATAGGCTTGCAGCGCTACCTGCTACATTCTCTAAACGAGTTGCGAGATTCTAATACTTCTTATAGATGAAAGATATGAAAGATTTGTCAGATGATTAGAAACAAACACCTTGTGAATTAAACTGCCGGTTCTGTCAACTGATTAAAAGATAATATTGCTGCACAAAGGCAGACACACAGTACACCCATCAATTTAACCACTGAAAAGCACAGCTTTGATCCATTACAGTAACGTTATTGCAAATAGAAAATTTGTTCAGAGGATGTAATCTAGAGACAGACATTTCAGACAGTTAATGCGAGTTGCCAGGAAAGAATTCCTTAAAAAATTGCTCATTCATTTCCAGACGTACCGTCATGATTTAATATCTTTGTTGGCTGTTTTTCCATAAAGCCAATGGGCATAACACCAAAGCGTTATAGAATGGATAAAACCAGCCTTATTCCTACTATATATTTTAATAAAAGACACAAATCATATGAACAAAAGGAATTAAGAATAAAAAAAAACCTTGATCTTCATTACTCAAGTCAACAGCCAACAAATTAATAAGGACACAAAATCTGTCACTATTCGAGTTAAACGTTATACCACCAACCATAGGATATATGGTTCTGTGACACTTCAAGCACATTCTTTAGTAAAACTAAGTCATGTAACAGTTTCTGGAGGGTTAAGATGAGTTGAGTGGGGTTAAAACTCAAGCATTCTAATCCTCTTCCTTAGAAAATATTTAACACTTAAAACCTGTGCTTAGTCCTTTTATTCATAATTCTCACTGTACCGCACCTTTTAAGCAATGTAATCTATTATACTGGACATGGCTCCTTACAAAAGTATTCAGACCCTTGTACAGTTTTTACATTTTGTTGCTTTAAAACTTGCAGTCTTGACACTTTGAATAAGCAGGCTCGACAAAAGGAACTGGAAAAAAACTTAAATCACACATGGGTTTTTTAACATGGCACCTAATTCATACTGCAAATACTGGCAAAAGATTTTTGTGGTCAGTCAAGACAAAATTTTGGTCTAAATGCAGAGTTAGGCTAGGTCTTATTATATTATAACATTATAGTTTAAATTCTCATCAGCGGGGACTGGGAAGCTGGTCAAGACTGAGGGGAACATAGAAGCAAATCTGAAAGGAAAACCTAGTACAGACCTAAGACTTGGACAAAAATTCACCTTTCAGCAGAACAGTAATTCAAACCATGAGAGCAAAGCTACACTGGAGTGGCTTAAGAAAGAGAAAGTGAATGTCCCAGAAACAAATTCTGACTTACTTTGTGGATATGTCTCTACCAACTTTGCCCACTGGCCTGTGTCAATTTTGACCCATTCTTCTTGGCTGATATGCTCAAGCTCCCTCAAATTACTAGGAGATGTCTTATGGTTTTCAAGTCTTTCTAGAGATTCACTTCAGGATTCTAGACTTGCAGCTATATTTGCTGCCAAAGGTGCTTTCAACAAAAAATATGAATAATAAAACAGAATAACAGGTATATGAATACAATATTAAATTAAAAATGTTCATGCATTATTTAGCAACTTACAGAAGAGGACATTGCAGGAGGGTCTGAATTATTTTACAAGACACTGTGTACAACAGTATGCCCAGAAGGTTTGGCTACAGCTATGAAACTAATATGGTAACTAACTATCCATTAATTTTACAGTAAATTAAAAAGGGAGTATAAGATAACTATTCAAGACAATGAAATTTCACAGTTTTCTTCTATATCATTTAAAAATGTGCTCCATAGAAAACATGACAGTATTCGCTATAAAGAGACAGCAAGATCTTTTTTCTTCAGTTGTGTACTTTTATTTTGGTTTGGAGAAGAGCTTGTGTGAGACAGTTTATATTTCACTTGGTTAATGCTAGAGACACCTGCTGATGTGGTCAGAATAAGGGCCAAAAATAGACATTTATACCACATGCTTCTCTGATTTGTCGCTTGCTGCATTTCCTGTGTCCGCAATTAAAGCTGAATAGTGTGGGCTTTGAGAAGAAGGCGAACTTCATCTTATGTTAATTGCTAAAATTTACAATGACATAAGTCACTTTGACAATGGATGTACTGTATAATATTAATATAGTATAACAATCTACTACCAAGATCTAGTGTTCCTAATTTATTTTTTTATCAGGTGCATTTATTAATTGGTTTCTAGTACCCTGTAAAGTTGACTTTAGGGTGCAGGTTTATTCAACTTGATAGAATTTGCTTGCTTAGAAAGTGTGTCAGGACCTGATGCCATATTTAATTTTATCACATTCCCTTCAGTAAGAAAAGGATAGATAATTTTCTTTATCCACTTTTTGTAACAATATAAATACTATTGCAGCTACTAAAGATAGTAAACGTTGCCATAGTAGAACCCCTTGAGCTAACACATGAATGCGTTTTCATTCTGAAGTCAGTCTAACACAGGTCTGACACCTTGTATCTATATTGACAACTGTGAATGAATCATTCCTGCTTCAAATGTCCTTTTTCCTAAATGGTCTTTTGTCAACTTTTCTACCAAATCTTGAACCTCACGGAATAACAAACAACTATGAGCTCTACCTGATTTATTTTGTTAACAGAACGGAATTAATAAAAGGAAGGAGTAAAGTCAACATCTACCTGCATCTACTGTCAGAGAACAAGTGACTCCTGGTAAGTGTCAGAAGCTTAACTCATTAGCACACGACACAAGATAGGACTACAGTATACCCTAGCCTATCAAACGGTCCAATTAACCTAGCCATAAAAAAGGCTCAGGCCAGAATCGAATCTAGGAGACAAGAGCTAACCACCGTGCCACAGAGACGCCTGAAAATGTCACATCATCAATTAAACTGTAAATTTCCTTTGGACTCCAGATTTTTAAAACAGACTGGTAAAAATGCTCAAAACAACACACTTGTGTTAAAACATTGTCTCCTGCTGTTTAATTAAGTATACAGAAACAATTGAGAAATATAACATGTACTGCCATCTGTAATCATCAATTAGCCAACATACTGAGTATCTGGAGCATGCTATGGTAATAGGCTTTATTTAGTGTGCTTTTGGAAAATGCTAGACTTTATTTTCCCTATTTGTACATCATGTATATTCTTGGGATAATAATGGTTTAGGAGGCCATTTGGTCTATCTGGCAGCTGGTTGTTAATCGCTTATGGTTGTGAGGTTCTCCTCCAGCTGTTTCTTGTCAGATTCCAGGGTATTAGAGCTTATAACGTGTTTGCTTTTGCTTGTTCCACTCTCCCACCACACTTCATGTATTGATATGTTTTCTGTTCTAACTTTTAAAAACACTTCCATGTTGTTCCCAGTTGTGTCTTCTGGTTAATATTTCACTATGTTTGTTTACTTTCTAAAAATACATTTGTCCAAAGAGATCTGCTGATATTAAGTGCTTTGATTCCCTGTAATGCTTCTGATCTGTCTATACTAACAACATTTAATATAGAACTTTGACTTTCCTCAGACTGTGGAATGTTGTTGATTTCATCACTGGTAAACACCTGAGTAAAATATAAATTTAGTAAATAACCCATTCCCCTTTCGCCATCTATGTTTTCCACTACTGTCCAATAAACGTTTAACTTCATCCTTTACTGTTGCAATACTGAAAAAAATATGATCTAAATTCACCCAAGCTTGCAACTCATTACATTAATTTTCTTTAAGTGGATCCTGTTTTTTTATATCATTTTACTAAGTGCCTACTTTCTCCTTACATGCATCCTGATAGATTTTTTAAGCCACTGCAGGAAGTGCTTTCTAAGCTAAGACTTATTTACTCTTGGAGATCTTTGCTTCAAGACAAATATCGTTAAAATGTTGGTATCAGTCCTTTACAGATTTTGCATTCACTCCTTCCTGTCCTTCTTTACGTTAGGTAAAACAATTGAATTAGACTCTTTAACGTATAATTTCAAAGGTGTCTTCTTGTCCATTTAATTTTCATCTGTTCACAATTGTAGTCACTTGAGTTACAGCACTGTTCCCATAACGATATGTCAAATTCCAAAAAACCTTCACCACAAGAAGTCTTAGGGTGTTATCCAAGCACTTACTAAATCAAATTCCAGGAAAAAAACGTGGTACCTCGTCCACAGTGCAGCACATGTACTCTGCAAAACTCAAGAGACTCGCATAAAAAGCCCAGAAAGATGGGATTTGAAGTGAGATTTGAAGTGAGAACATCTTGGAAAAAGGATGGCTGAAAGGCAAGCACGAAGAAGCTCCAGCACTGAAGTGTACACAGAGTGGGATTTATAAATCTCCCAGATGACGCAGAGAGCACAAGACAGAAAAGCTTTCTAGAAAATGATGAAACTCTGAGAGGCAGAAGTACCATCCGGAGTGCCTCACCTTGCATGCAATGTACTCAAGAATCTGTGCCTTTGACCAATTTTACACTGAAACAAGTTGCCAATGAGATTTAGAATTGAACATTTCTGATGCCTTACTTTACTCCTCAGGTACATTTTTAAGGCAAAAATTAGGGGCGCCCTGAGGCACACCCTTCTAAAATATTATGAGATAAACAATGATATTTAAGATTAAAGAAAACTGTGAAACAAAAGGGATTGTTCTATGATCTAGTGACCACTGCTTTGGAACCAGAACACACCACTGACCTGCCTAGTGTTGACTGTTCAGTCCCCAAGCACTGCTAGTGCTGTAGGTTGCGGTCAGTTAGAGGGCACCTGCTGGTTTCTAGTTCTGTTATTTAGCACTTTAGTTGTCCTCTTGGTGGTATTTTCATTTATTCACATTTGTAGTATGAAAAGATGTATGGAAGAGAGCCATGGGGAAACGATTCATTTTATTGTTCCGAGCAATAAAAACAAAGAAGAAGAAAAAATCAGAAATCCTTGGAGCTTTACCTGATAGTCTCTGCCATTTTAGTGCTTTCTCTCTTCCTGTCATCAGTCAGTCGTCGTATAAAATAAATAAAATCAAGGCCAAAACAAAAAACGCTTCCCACAGCACTCAGCAGAACTAATTTACTATCATCTGCGGCTGCTGTAGTGAGTGCACTCTGGAGCTCCTTCATTACCTGTAAGGCAAAAAAAAGCAAAGGCAGCCAATGAGACATTCATTACCTTAGCAGTAGTTGTGAATGAAACTACTACCGATGCCCTGCTCATTAACACCCATTTTTCATATCAGTTTGAAAACAGTGGGCATAGAGAGTGACAATTTAGTAATATGAAATTTCACCCAAAAAAGCCATACAAATCTAGGGACAGAAAGTTTGGAGTCTGAAAGAGTCCTGTCTTCTTCACCAACACTGTCTTCCAAAAACTGGAAAAATTAGGTTACCACAGGCAACACTAGCCTCTTAGAAAATACACAGCTAACCAGAAGCCATTTCCTTGCCTTCAGTCATTAAACTGAAGGGAGTTATTTGTCCAAGCTGTAGTTAAAACAAGTGCTACAAAATCGAACAGAACAAAATATCCAAATAATTTTTTTGCAAAGGCTATTTTGGCAGGAATTCTGTGCACTTCTTTCAACCCATCTGAAGAAAGTAATTAGCATGATGTTGCTAGTTGTGGATGAATCAGTCAGAATCAGTAAGAAACTGTCACAAATAATAAGTGACAATGACAAAAATCTTTCTCTATTTGCCACAGCTAGGAGTACACACACCACTGCTCCAAAATGCCCGTATACTCGCAAATGCTCAACATTTGTGGCTAGTTAATTTTTCCCATACAGTACCTCTTTAAAGCAAACAAAATTTTTTCTGAGCATGGTACATGCCAACACTAGTAAATCCCTTGTATAAATAATGAAATAATGTTCAACAAAAAGGAGAATTTCTTTAATGTATGTTGGTGATTGCAAGATGTGTCAATTAACATATGAAAGTGTCTCCTATTACTAATTTTAAACCACGTTTACAGGAGACTTTGAACACCACATCAGTTCCAGGTTAGAACAAGAAGCACACATTATTCTACATATACAAATAATATTAATAATACTGCAAGGTGGAAAAATCTATGTTGTATTAATCATTGCTGTTTGTATTTATTTCACAATATGGTAATACTAATATATTATTGTCAGATTACACACAGTACATGATAACTCATGCAATGCATATACATAAACAATTACTTATGTCAATGCACGCCCATGAAGTCAATTTATAACACAGGGAGGAAAAATGTCTCATTCAAATTTGTAAATTAATTCTGTAATAGATCCTGGAAGCATTTATCAAATAATATTAATATCCTTTAACCCAACAAGATTCACAGAAATGACATCAAATTTACAGCCTGCAGTGGTAAAAAAAACCCAGGCTGCAATCAGTGACATATCGGACATGGGCTGCAATTAATTATGCAGCATGGCACTGTGCAGATCCCACAAAAAATTTAAATAAATAATTATTTAAAAGTAAATAATTTAAAACAGCTTCACAAAGAAACAATACACATCCTGTTGTAGCTAACATTAGTGATTAGCTTTATCAGTAAATAAACTGTTATTAATAAGCCCTTGTTTTGGTAAGGTCCTAAAATACTTCAAAAAGTTAAGCAGGTTTTTAGTTTAAAAACTCAAAACGTCGATTTAATAGTTACCAATCTGGTTAAAATGGCACAAAGAATTCCAACAGGAGTAAGAATTATAACTCACTACCAAAAGGTTATTGTAATCACCAACAGAGACTGTGCTGATTTCTTAAGCATTCTATTGCACTTGTGCCTGTGACAAATGAACTGCACTGAACTGAAATTATTCTTCAGATCATTCACGCCAAGATGGCTCGACTGTCATTTTAAGGTTTCAGACTAAATACTAGTTCAGTCAGTTGTTTAACTCCTCCAAACAATTTTAATTACAGTGATTCAAGTCGACAATGACTGGTTTGATTTTTAATCAGCAGATCTGTGAACAAGATAGACCAAGTTCTTGCAGCTTTAAGATGTAAATTATAATACTAAAAGCCCTCCTACTTAATGTATTTTCACTTCAGTGTACAGTACATTTAATAGCCTAGATAGTCAGTCAAAACCAATTAGAGGACCTGACTCCCTGCCTCTTCTCAAACCAACTATTTCTCCATGACCCACATTAGATTTGTTTGTATTTAATTAAAAGTTTCCTGTTATTATAGCTTGACCATGGATTTTGTGAGGTTAACTGTAAAACCTAACTGTTCTTGACTCCTTACGGCTGGCTCTAGTAGAAACGATGTACAAACGGTGGTTTTCCAATAATCTTGATTTTTAAGCCACTCCATCGCAGTGTTGGTCATTTCAGGTCAACTTTGTGCAGCTTACTGTTTTTGCAGTTCTCTTGAAAAATGGTTTTATTTGAAACAGGCTGGTTGGATTGTTTTTAGAACATATCTTTGTATCCGTGAGTTAATCTGATACAGCAGTGATTACACTGATTACGGTACTGACCGTTTTTTAAGAATGCACGTTCGCTAAAATATTCAAATGAACTAACAAACCATATAAATTTCCAAACACACATTTCTAGTGAAGTGTACGTGCTGATGTATCTCTGATGTATCTCTGATGTATCTCTGATGTATCTCTGATGTATCTCTGATGAAAGAAATTCAATAGAAAAAAGGAGGAATTTCTTTATGTTATACAAAAATATAACTATGTGCCCATTTAAGCACTGCAATACCATATTCCTTCAAGCCATATCATTTGGATATACTTTGTATTCATGAAAGTGCCAAGCTGGTCTTGTGGGGTTAGAAATGTAGAGATCACTTACGAGGAAGGGAGCTACTAGCAATTAGTAACTGTAATAAACATCTGTTGTACTTGTTGGCAAACTGCTCCTGTATTTTGTAGATAATGTCACAACTGAAAGGAATTTGCTGTGTTTCTAATATTTTCTTCAGACTTGTAATTACGCACATGGAAATACACACATTATTACAAATATGTCTAATCATATTAGAGGAAACTGCATATGTACACATTTATGGGGTATGGGGTTTTTAACCCATAAAATATAACATGTGTTGGTACATTTGCTACTGATTTAATTTGGTTAGGACCTTAATGCAAGGTAACTTTGTGAGTAACAGATTTGTTATTATACATTATCAGCTGTTGGGAGGCTCAGTGGCGCAGTGGTTTGTATTGCTGCCTGACAGCGCTGGGTTCCTGGGGTACTATCTGCATGGAGTTTGTATGCCCCCCCCCCTCCTGTTTATGTGGGTTTCCTCTGGGTGCTCCGATTTCCTCCCACAGTCCAAAAAAAATACTGGTAGTTGAAGTGGCTTCCGGAACAATCGGACCAAGGTGTGAGTAAGTGCATGTCTGAGTCTGTGTATGTACCCTGCCCTGTGCCCGTTGCTAGCTGGGACAGGCTCTGGCTCCCCTGCAACCCTGAATTAGATGAAGGGGCTAGAAAATGTAAGGATGGATTATCAGATGTGGCTAACCATTAACAAACCTCCAGAATCAATCCGCTACAAAGAATATCTTCCGTTTAGAAAGTTACACACATGTGGAAATGTGTTTTTTTAATATGTGAAGAACTTGAAATTGCTCATTCCTGAAGTACATTAGACTTCAGGGAATGAGGACCATGGCAGTACAAAGGGCAACTATGAGCTAAACTTTTGCAAATTCTTCCACAAGGGTAAACCTACTGATTTGGCGTATATTTCTTTTTTATTGCATCTAATTATGCTATTTGAGGTCTTAACCTAGTCTGACTTCATTTGTTTTTGTGCTCTCATGAAAGTAATGAAAGTGTCTGATGTTCAGGTCAGTGCAAAAGGCCTGTGCTCCAAGGAATTTAATTTAAGATTTGTTTAAGGAAAGAGCACGCCGTGGTTGATCATGCTACTGGAGCGCTTTTAACTGACTTGGGGACATTACATGTTTTAATTGTTTTGGGAACAAAAATCTTTCTTGAAGACTTTACTTACATCTGGATTTAAGGAGTTGTTTTCTGAAGACTTTGTGGAGAGTAATATGTGAGTGAAGCCGTCTTGCTTCTTGACAACAATGTCTCTGTACCGGTAGGCACTTTCAGTTTGTCTCACGCTAAAGCGCAGCCTCTTGTCGAAAGCCTGCCTGTCTTCAAACCTCCTCTTCCCTGCTGTGACTCCTGTGGCTGAGCTCTGTATGCTTGTTGTACCGTTGGCTGCCAGGGCTTCCATGAACGTAGTGGTACCTGCGGGCGACAAACCCAGATGTGTGTGACGTCAATTTACGAGCCATGAAAAAATGCTCAAAAAAGAAAGAAGAACATGTTCCTTAGAGAAAAAATGTTAGAATCAACTTAATTAAGGACTGTAAGGAAAATCCGCTTGAGCTGTAAGTAGTGTTGGCAAACAAGTAGGTGGCGCACTTCCTTATGCATCAGAATCGCCAAACCAACGTTACAGGATGGTGACCTGAGAGACACTGCTGGAGGCTCTTCTGTACGATGTCAGAGAAAGATCGCCGGAGACTCTATGGGCCTGTTTGTAAGGGTGGTTACCCTAGTTTCTTGGCTTGGCACACTCCGACCTCCCCAAATCTCCCCCCTTAATTCAAATGGTGAAATAAGCTCTTGCTCAATAATTCTCAAATCACCTGAGACAACTGGAGCCTACACCTGGCTTGGATTCATTTGAAAATCTGGCTCTTGAAGTCTTGACAGCTGTGACTTCTACTTCAATCTTGGTCCATCAGCCTCCCATAACTAACAACTAATTTCAGACTTGTCATTATTTAACCCAAAATACGACAGAGACTTTTACTTTTAGGGGATTTCAATATAGATTTTAAGCCATGTTTAATCATCCCATTCCCAGCCAGGACCCCACAATAGATCTTCTCATCAGTGGTGACATTTCCATACTGATGTTCTTGGCAATCTTGGATCATCTAGCCTTTCTAAGCAAATGTGATTGCTCGTCACCTCCCTCCAGTGCCAAAAGTAGCATCACACTCCGGGGATTAAAATCACTGACTCCTACGAGGTTTGCTGATGCAGTATGTGACTCACATATTGTTAAGACTAAGGCAGACACAAATCTCAGTGTCACAACAGTTACAGGCAGCTTGATCAGATATTAAAACCTAAATGCAGCTTTATTTTTGCAGCTCAATAGTGACAAGACAGAGTTGACTAGGGTCAACACATAAAACTGTGAAATGATGCTGCCTTTAGCTTGGTATTTGATGGCTGGGAGACTAGAGCTACCCAAGTGAAAAGTATCTGCGTTCTTCTCATATTCAATTTATCTTTTGAGACGTGCTAGAAAAATGACAGGAGTCTAATTCCTGTTTTCAATGTCATTTTACAATTGCAATTAGATACTGAGAAACTGTTTAAGGTTTTTGTTTTCTCTATATTCATGAGACCATGGTAGTATCAAAACCCAGATACTAGAATCTTTACCAGATCCAACCATTATTATTCCTGTTCTCAGTGTTGCAAAGGACTGGCTTTAAAATCCTTCTGCCGACCTACAAAACAGTGAACAATCTGTTTCTTTCTTCCTTCAAACAGTTCCATCTTTATACACTATTATGCTTTATCAGCTCTGGTCTTTAAATTTCGGACTGCTGATTTCCCTCATGCCGAAAAGTCATATACTGGACTTTCTACTGAAAAAATATTTAATATAACACACCCTGTCTTAAATAGTCCTGGTGACTACAGAAACAAATCGGTCTTTCTCACATGTGTGTGAGCTGTTTGGTCTGAGTTTTATCTAAGAAGAGCACGTTTGCTGCAGTAAGTGGTATTGGTGACCCAGTAAGTAGCACTCTTATAGCATGTTAAACCAAGCTAATTCAGGTTTAAAGAATTATGCTGCACATTTTGAAGTAGTAGGGTGGCATCCTGGAGAAAGTAAACTCTGGTTTTATATAATCTAGCCTCCCTAAAGAGCTCCCCTTATTTCAATTTCTGAAGCAAATTTCTCACTCTCTACCTGATAAGCTGTGTAGGGGGACTGCTGGTGCATAATGGCTGCCATATGTCACCCATGGGAGTGTTGAACTTCATTGGTGGGTAAGAGGATACCCGCTTTATTAAAAGTGCTATAAAAATCCAAAGATTTTATATTGAGACTGCCAGAGCCTCATGACCACCACATGTCACCCAAGTGGTAATGGGGCTTCCCTCCTGAATGTGAAGTGTTTGGGATTTTTTTAAGGGGAAAAACCACAAAAATGTACCCTTTTTGGACATCATTGCTAAAAAGCGTCATTAAATTCCCATACCAAACATTAATTGACTTAATTATAACTGACATAATTGATTCTTAGAATGACACTGAAATAAGGTATATTAATAATAATAATACTGGGCTCGACACTCACTCCATTTCATTCAAATACAGTATTACTGACACTTTTTGTCAAGAGGAGAAGAATGTGGATGAAATCTAAAATGCTTTAAAATCACAATGTATTTGTTGTATTTACAAATCACCATTTTAAAGTCACCAATCATGAATTTGATGGCTTGTGTGCTGGTTTATAGACATCAGAAAAAAAACTATAAAAAGTTTAGCAAAGGAACCACATTTTTTAGCAAAATCTGTGCAAAATACTGTTTTTTTTTTCCAATTTTGTCATTAAAAGAGGTGTTTTATATTTCAGCCATTCAGTCACAAACTGTTAAATATATTTTTTTAAAATTGACATAAAAACAAAGAGCTGTTTGTAACTAGAAAATATTGTAACAACATATTTTCAATGTCTCAACCTGAAAGCAAAAGGATGGAGAATGAATCATCCCTATTTTGTGACTAATTCACCACTCCAAAGTTTATCAACCCTGTTGTTAACCCTGGTTGTTTGCTATTACAGCACATTGCTCTTGAGGAGGTAGGTCCAATTGGCAGGGCCACAGAGTAGATGTTAAAAACAACAGGGCAAGCAGTGGAAACTAGGTGTTAGAGGTCATAGTATAGTAACAAGATGACTGAAAAACAAGTTTTGTCAATGACATAACTTTGACATAACAGTGTCAAGGTGCATCATACCTTTCCAACTCAGACCCGAAGTTTTACCGTAAGAAGATAAGAATGGTTAAAAATAAGATGAGGCTATGTAGTCCATTTAGCAGATAGTAGCTGCATGTTTCAGGAAACTCATTGTTTCCTGGAATAATCCAGGGTTCAATAATCGGCTTCAACAACATGGCTGAGCACCTTGTTCCAGACTCCCACAGCCCTTTGGATAATCATGTTTTCCTGTTTTCAGATGTAAATGTAGTTCCACACAGTTTCCCCCTGTATTCTCTGGTTCATGTGTCACTGTTTATTGTGAAGAAATCCACTGGATTGACTATGTCAATGCCTTTAAGGATTTTGTCAACTTCTATGCAGTCTCTTTAATTATAATAACTATAATTGCTTATACTTATATAGCCCTTTTCTGGACACTCCACTCAAAGTGCTTTACAGGTAATGGGGACTCCCTTCCACCACCACCAATGTGCAGCCCCACCTGGATGATGCAACGGCAGCCGTAGTACGCCAGAACGCTCACCACACATCAGCTATCAGTGGGGAGGAGAGCAGAGCAATGAAGCCAATTCATAAATGGGGATTATTAGGAGGCCATGATTGTTAAGGGCCAATGGGAAATTTGGCCACGACACCGGGGTCTTTAACAACATCACCATCCAAGACTGAAATGGCTCGGTTTCTACAGTCAGTCAGTCTAGGATATTCCCTATAGTCCTAGAATGTATCTGATTTCTCTTTTCTGGTCTGACTCCGGGCCAGTAACATCGTTTCTATAACGGCAATAAATTAAATCTAGAGATACACTTAGAAATGTTAACATATTTCATGGCAGTCCAGTAGAAAAGTGACACACAAGAATAAAATTAGCCAACCACTGCAATGATTTTGAAACTGCTGCTCACTAAGGGTATCCAGAGGTCAATCTCTCCTTGCACTTAGCAGTAACAACTAAGCCTAGGAATGAATACCGAGAGACATTAAAAACACTAAAAATGAGCACTGGAACCAATATAACTTTTCATGTCTCCAATGTATATACAGTATTGTTACAAAACATAGTATAATAAATAATATTATAGCAATAATACCTACAAGAGATGGAAGACGAAATTGTACAGTAAGATATTATTAGACAAAGAGAAGAAAGTATAAGGTATGTAGTATTCACATGGGACCAACACCTTTCATCTGAGTCTGTTTTATCTTGTTGCCTTACTTTCCTAATGTACTCCATTTCTCTCAAAAGCAATTTAAAGGAAATACACCTAACAGACTGTTAAGAATGGAACAACCCCTCCCTAACCTAGCTGGAATAGCTGATTATTCAAGTCAAGGAGGTGGAAGTAATTGTTTGACAAACGTGTGTATAGAAACGAGCAGGAGCGGCACCTATATGTACTATCACAAGGAGGCATTGTGAATACGCACTGCATTTCTATTAACTTTTAACACTCATCAAAGTCCACAGGCAAGTAACACAATTTGACAAGCGATGCAAACTCTTGCACCTGCCACTGTGTGAATGCTTAACAAACCTTTGAAAGTCTGAAACAAACCTTTGAGAATCTTAAAACAGACAAAAGCATGTCTAGAGATTCTGTGACAGAGCATGATTTTTTTTAAATGTCAGGTTGGATCATAATGCTGTACAGATTTTAACATTCCAACCTCACAAAATAAATCCAATGGGGAAAAGTCCTGGTAACCTACATTCGTAAAAGAACTTTCTACTGTTACTACTTAAGAAGTTCCAGATTCATAAATTAATTAAATGGTCAAAGCATTATCTTTTCATCAGATACGTAACCTTAGGTACTGTTCTAGTACATATAGGTGCAATTATAAATTATGATAACCAAAAGTCCTTTGGTTACTTCAAAATGTTACCCACTGGAAGTCAATAAGTAACCCAAGTATGTCTTGGTCAATCTTAAAATTTTTAATTACTTTTTGAATTTCATGTTGCGTGTTCATGCTGTGTCCTCTTCCTGAACTTTGCTTGCATGACTAAGCAATTTCATATATTGCCCTTTTGTAACGTGCACCCTATTTTGAACACATCATTCACACTTAATGAATAAGTTGAATCTGTAATACTTTAACACATGGCTATGTCTAAATAATCTCTTAATAAATAGATTTTGAGAACGAAGTACTTCCATACATTTTATTACAAAAATAATTTTGAGCTTTTGGAAAATGCTAAAGTATATTTATCAATCCATCTTTGAAACAGTCAGATTTGAAAGCTCCGTCATCACAACCAACAGTTCTGGGTACGTAAGGTATAGTACCTATAAGAAAGTTGAAAGATTCCGTTCCAAAGAAGACAGTGGTCAAGACCAATCATGAGCAAGTGTCCTATATAACAATTTCAAATCACTTGATCATCAGAATTTTCAGCTGACAGAGCTGTCAAACAAAGCATCACTTACTGAATCAAAACTACAAATGTCAATCTGGGAATATTATGAAACAAATAAATTAACCCTTTCTTGAAAGCCCCCTTCACTGACAATGTGTATTGCTTAAACTACACTCTTAAAATAGTTTTAAAAAATCCAGTATAAATCCATTGCTTTTTGCTATTTTCTTCTTTGATGGTAAAGTAAGCATTCTGTTTCATAAAAAAAAAGGTGATGATACATCTCAGAAGCAAAAGATTTTCAGTAGAACTGCTAATGTTAAAGGGAGAGAGATTGGGTTGTAGGTAGAGCTTTGATAAATGAGCTTCCCTATATTAAAAAAGATTTAATATAGGTGCACTCTTTTTAAAATTGTTTTAAAAATGTTCACAGACATTCACTCTACTGTGAACAAGTACACAAACAGGATATATTAGCTGAATAGTTTAACACTTTCTGCACAAAAAAAATATGCAAACGGAAAAAACCTTTTATACTTGATTTATCACTTTTGTCTAAGACTGTGTAGAGTACTTGTTTTACTGAGATGATGTAACATACACCTGTGTTAAGGGCTAATAAAAAACAACAGGCTATAGGCTATATACTTACATCTGTGTAACATTTTACTACTTACACATTACTTTTCTCCAAAATAGGCTCTGGCATACATCTTTAATTAATTATGTGCTGAAACTGTAAAAATGGTAAGAAATGGTACACCTATTAATTATCAGAAAGTCACTTATTCCTGTGAATATAACCATACCCACAAGAATGATTTAGACATTCAAATTTCATTGGAAACCAGAGCACCTGGAGAAAACACACCCACAGTAATGAAGGGAGAACATGCAAACTCCACACAGAAGGCACCCCGGTCCTATATCCAACACAGGGCCCAAGAGCGTTAAGGCAGCAACACAATCTGCCACTCCACCAAACGCCCCCTGATAATAAATTAACAAACTCTAAAGCTGCAACATTAATTATTGTAGCAATTCAGCACAAAATTTCAATTTTAGTTCAATTGGAGCAAAGAAGCAATAATTGAAATATTAATAAAGCACTGAACTATGTCACACAACACTCACCAATCAACACCTGGTGTGCTGTCATTTTGGCATTTATAAAAATGGAGGGGAAAAGGACATTTACAGCCAGAAATAAAACAAAGTTCACCATACCTTTGCCATTGAGCGTCAGTCCCGAGGCAGTAGTTGCAGTCACTGGCCCCTGAGCTTGAGGCAGTATTGTCTGGCTCCGCGGCCTGGTCCCCATTCGAGCCCTCTCGGCCCCCGGCCCAAGAAGAGAGCCCACCGGCTTCTCCAGGGCCACTTCCGGGGGAACGGAGTCCTGCTCCTGCTCGGTTTGGTCTAGGCCGTGGGCTCCTTCACTGGGAAACTCCTCTGCCTCAGTCCTGCTCTTCATAGGGCTTTTGGGAACCAAGATTTTGATGCCAGTTTTGGACAGGTCCATGCTTCTCCTGCCAGAGGTCACAGAATGCGTAGTGGCCGTAGTGCGCCGGTACTTTTGGTGACTAGGCAGCAGCTGAGGTTCGTTTTTGGCGTCCAGCTCTTTGCTGGTCAGTTTGGGAGGAGTCTTTGCGAGTGAGCTCTGGGGGGGGCGGCAGATCTGTTTCCTGGCGTTGTTGTTGGGAGAGCTCCGGGTGGAGCGCAGCAGAGTGCTGTCCTTCTGTCGCTCACTGTGCAGTCTGTTGAACTCGTGGATGTACTCCACGCAGTTCACAAGGTGAGTCTCTGGCTCCCACGTGTCATCCTCGCAGTTGTAGCCTTTCCAGCGCACAAGGTACTCGGTTTTGCCTTTTTTGTTTTTCCGCTTGTCCACGATTCTCTCTACCTGTTAAATTAAAGAAAGGGGGGAAAGAAAAATGAATCAACTTCTCACGAATACTGCACACAGTCAGGATTTTCGGGTGCAAACATTTGTGTACTGTGCCGAAAAATGCAGGCAGTGCTCACTAATGCGTTCGGTACTGACAGACATTTTCATTATTTCATGACCCTGCTCTCGATGGACAAGGAATAAAAATTGTGACGCAGAGCCAAGGTTTTTCATCCCTTTGAATTATAGTGGATAAAAGAACCCGAATAATGGCAATGGTCCTGGGACTGACAATAGCTGAGACCATTCTTTCACTGGATTCTTAATCAGACTCAGGTTTTAATAAACAATATCAAATTCCTCTTAAGTACGGCTGTTCAAAACTCTTCTGGAAAACAACATCTCATTCCCCAAATGACTCTTCTGATCTTCTGCATGTACAGTTATTTATTGTTTTTTTTTTTTTAATCAAAACATATTGTAGAACATGTGCTTTCAAGCACACATCTTGTTACAGCGGTATGAATGAGAGGTGTAATCTTGATAAAATGATATATTCCTCCTATAATTGTCTATGCAGCATCCAAGGGAAAAGACTATTTACTGAAGGTGTTTGAAAGCTCATTTCTATCGTAGTTGTGCTTTGCGCAGTATTTTATGTGTGAGTAGACAGTGTCAAGATGTGCCCGCAACACATTAATTGAATTATATGGGCAATTACACCATGGAGCAAATGATCTCTACTTTCTGATCTATGAATGGGAATGGAATCTGAACACATTCTGGCTATCTTTTGACAGTTATCAATGCCGACATTCCATAGCATTGCTGACAAGTATATAACCCAAATAGTATATACTTTAAAAATGTATCCTGTGCAGATCTAAACATGGAACTTCACTTTAAAGTGCACCTGGAGGGCATGAAATGGTAAAGAACCTTGTAAACGCATTCCAAAACAGTTTTTATCTTTATGGAAAGGCTTCTCATTTTGCAGCTGTGATTTAGTCACAAATGTCAGGATTTCCACAGAGTAACGTCATTCTCTGCTTTAAATAAAATCTACTACTATGTTCACTACTGAGACATCACAGAAAAGAGTAAAAGCTACAGCTGTGTCCGTGTACAAAGCTAAAAGGGTCTGGGAAATAACCTATTCATTCAACAGGAGGAAGAAAACCAGTAAAGGAAAAATTGATTGTGACAAGAAGCCATTACCCATCCATTTACACATCCTGCTACAGTATCTAGAGGGCATTTCCAGAATAGCAATGCAGAACTGCCAGTACAGAGTCAACCAATATACAGCACAAGTATTAAACAATTTAAAGGGTCACTATACTTTTTTATAGGACAGAATCATCTTTCAGGAAATGTTGCTGCCATGGAAATTTTAGCTATATACATTAAGTGGAATTTTCTTAACCTCTACAGCACGTTTGGAATTAAACAATTTGAAAATGAAGGAATGTCTGTAAAACATCCTCCTTATCTAAGCGTGAATAGCTGGTAACTTTGCTGAGCATGCATTCTTTAGCTATCTTTTTATATCCTCCCCCAGTTAAAAATAAACAACATCTGAAAAGACACTGGGATCTGTTGAGCCTACCAACACTAAACACTCTGCCATTAATGTCAGGGCAGTCATCTTTCACGCACTGTGTACTGTTAATTGGCAAATTAGTTTGTATTGGCACAATCCCACAGCTCTTTGTGCCTCAGGCTTCCAGGCAAACACATAAAGATTTTCCAGCACTGCAAACAAAACCCACATTTCCTTTTTAACACGCTACAGTACATCCAGACCAGTTCTCAGGTATTTCCAACAGGCACCAAGCAATACCACCACACCTGCACAGAACTTGACAGGTAGTTAAGAGAATAAAATTTCTCACCTAGGAAAGCAATCAACATATTTCAAATGGCTAGCTGTTTGTTTTGCAATTAAAGATGAATTTATTAATCACTCGCTAATCATTAAGCCTTTCTACGCAAGGTGCGTGGGAACAAGTGTGCTACTAGTTTGCTGCCTGGCTACCTTTCCTTTGTATTTATGTGCTGTAGACGCTAACTTGCTGCACATTATAACCACCCCCTTTATTACATAACTGGAAAGTACAGAGTACTTACAGTCTCAGCTTGACCTCACCTATGGAGACTTGAGGAAATCCATCTGTCCTCCTTACATTACTTTCCAGTGTCCAAATAGAATCTACAACTACAGGGCATACCTCAATTCCAATGTTTAAAGAAATTAAGGTGGGTAGCTGCATCAGCATGCGTAGGCTGCAAAGGAACAAGTAATACGTTTTTTTTCCATGCTGAAAAGAGAAGAAAGAAAACACAACGTTTCGGCTTTGGAACCTTCTCCGTACACCCAAAGAAGGCTCCACGGCCGAAACGTTGTGTTTTCTTTCTTCTCTTTTCAGCATGGAACAATCCTATTGCTTGTTCCTAAAAGAAATGAAACCATTTTAAACAAGCATCAGTAGAAATGTGTTTACATCATTTTCTTTTCCCCTAGGTCTGCATGTTCTTCACTTATTTGCAACTCCCAGATAATTTGTGCTAGAAGAGCTTACACAAATCTGAACCGCACACATGGGATTGTTTAGCATTGCATTCCTAAGATTTTTGATAATGCCACCCGATTCAAAATCGCCGACAGAGTGACAAATTAAAGAACTCATAATGAAATCAATTCATGTGACTCTTGTCATACAATAAGGGGGGTTTCCCTTCCCGTAGCTATGGGTGGGCACACCCTGCAAGAACAATAGAGGCTGGTGATTGCCCTGAAGCAATCTGGCCTGAGACTATTAAGGGATAACTGGAAAACAAACACAAAAAGGGACAGCTCAATGTAACATTTAGCTGCATTCACAAAATATGCAGTGTCTTGAATGATAACACGAAGCATGGAGAACATAGAAGTCACTGGTAATTTCCGTAATATTTACAATTGCACTTTATCAACTTTTAGATTCTAACTGCGCCTTGAGGAACAGCAATAGAAATTCCATTCATCAACAGAAACCAGTCACGAATCAGTTCATTTTCATGATTCACATCTTTATATGGAGGCAAGAAATGACAAGCAAGTAAAGAAATTTATTATACCTGAATGAGATCACTGAGTTGTACGTATGTAAAGAACAAAAAACAAGCTAATACGTATGCAAAGGATGAAATCCGCACAGAATGTGATAACATAATCAAGGGCAGTTGCATCATCGCAGCTATAAACTTGTGAAAGTGAATATTAATGCTTCTCGCTTACAAAGTTGCAAAGCAACATTCCAAACAACCAAGAATTAAAACAGTGTTAGACTCACACTTCAAGTTGATGTTATTTATCAGTAACACACAAGTCGTAACACACAAAGAGATATTACATTTAAGTGTTAATAATAGGTGCACTGAGTGTTCCATATAGTGGGTTTCAAATAACTGTTAACAAAATCTTGAATTGTGTCACAAGGACATTACAATCTCATTCTTTGGGCCAGCTTCCGTGGCATAAGCAGAACCTCAGAACATTTATACGAATACATCTTCGCCTATCAACATTTTTTTAGAGGAAACATCAAAAGAATGTTTCATCTCTTATGCTTTAATTATTTCACATACGTCACAGATTAGCCCCTTTTATAGCCAAAAACAACAATAATATACAAAATATTACAAATGGTTACAGATAACTGGAGTTTACTTGGCCTATGTACCCATGTGTTTACAAAACCTTGACAAGAATTATCACTAACTTCTCAAACTGTGTGTTTTACTTATCAGGAATTGAAGAAACACTCAGCTGACTTTGGAAGAGCACAACTGCAAAAAAAAGGCTGTCAGGGGACTTTGGTGTGCACCCTGACAGGATAACTGTTTCATTAATAGATTCTCAGACCCAGTGTTCGTTTTCATTTAAACACCAAGCTTTTCAGTATAAGGTTACACCTTGTCATGCAGATTCCCAAGAAATGCCACATGCTGGCAATAGAACTGGGTACCCCCCTGCCACAGAACCCAGAGTAAGAAAGTCAGGAAGTAGGATCTAACCTTGCAAGCCACAAGTGCACACTCTGCACTTTCCTTTGATGACTCAGTGGGGGAACTATCAGGGCTCTGTGATGCATGGCTCTGTTTGCCAAGTGATGTTATTATGAGTTATCTCAGGGTTTCTTTAAAAGCAAACCTTCTTTTCTGATGCTGCAGTCTGAACCACTCCCATATAACCCTTCAGAATCACCTTCAGCAGTTTGGAGAGAACCATACTGTAGCTACTCTAGTCCGCTCTGGAATCAGTCCGGAAAAGGCTGACTAGAGACATTCCCAAATTAAAATGGAATGCCATACTTTATGGAGCCGGGGGAAAAAAATAAAACTTTCTAGTCTTGAACAGAGAAGACTATGAGGAAAGCTGATTTAATTTTTTATACCCCCCAAAAGACATTAACAAAGTCAACCAGCTGGACTTCAAGACCAATAAAGACACCGAACTAGAGCACACAAATGGAAATAATGGGGAAGGACTGGAAATAATGGGGAAAGGCATGAATCAGAACTGAGACCAGAAGCGCTATTCAGAGTCTAGAATAAAACTGGAGGACCCTTGTATCACTCTGCTACTAACAACCAAATGAGCTACATGGCATCTTCTCGTTTGCAAAAAAGTAGGTGCACCACTTCCGCATGACAAAGATTCTCTCCTGTTGCCTGTTCTCCTGTCCTCTCCTGTTTCCACTGCAACAGTACGGCACAGACAAAGTTTTGGACAAGTGTACCAATGGATTTTCCACCTTGGAGTGCAAAAGATCTAGCTTCAGCAAGCCAAGCTAAAGATCAGCCACAGCAACCGTTTGAGTCTATTCAACATGGCTCTTGAAGCATACAAATGCATGTAAGAGCTGCAAAAAAGCATCAGCTATCTTATGGACTACATACCTCTAAACATAATCGAGTTGGATTTCTTTCCTGGGATGTTATTTTTAAGATAACCTTGATGTTAAAGCAAA